AAAAAAAAAAAAAAAAAAAAAAAAAAAAAAAATAATAATAATAATAATAATAATAAATGTATTTAGGACTTAATTGATATTGTTGAAATATCAATTAAATCAAATTTTTCTCAAATAGTAGCTATCTACCTAATGCTAATTAATTCAATAAATCAGATAAATCTACTATTTCAGCATATCAATCTAACTAAATATAAGTAAGGATTAATACTAATCTACTAATTATATATGTTTGTATTATAAATAGGCTTAACAAGAATCTATAAGCTAAAAATAAAATATCAGAATACATCGAAATACTGTACAGTATTTTTAGAAGAGTTAAATAAGCTCTTTATATTGTTAAGATATATATAAAAAGACTAAACAAAATCTAAAACTAAAAATAGAATATTGTACTATATTGAAATGCAGTATTTTTAAAGAGTCAAATTAGACCTTTATAATATAAAGGTCAAATCTGGTAACCTCAGAAGTATTTATAATCTGAAGTTACTTTGACTGAAATTCTTGAAGATCTTGAGACTTCACAAATTACTTTGTTTTCTATCTCTGAAATTACTTGAATTATAAAAATTCTAACAATCCTGGCCAAGATTTCTAGAATTTAGCAAATTTACTAATTCTTAGAAATCCTAGTTCAGATTTTCCTAATCCCTCAGATTTCTCAGATTTCTATTTTTTTTATATTTTTCTTTATTTTTATTATTCAATATTAATAAAAATTATGTATATAAGTAATTAAAATTTAACCTACTATAAGATTATTTGACGAAAATGTCTCTGATCATTTTTATTTTTGACTATTTGTATTTATGTGCGGTTTTTTGAATGGCTTATTACTGACTCGTGTGTTACCACATTTCCTTTTTAATTAGAAAGGAAATGATCACTGTGAAATAATTTTATATTAATGTATTGTATTATATTATATTTATTATATTGTATTTTATGTACTATATTGTATATACAGTACTGATCCCTCTAAATTTTTTTATCGTTCTCAGGTTGTATTTATACTTTTTTTTTTTTGTCATGTGTTTATTACTGTAACTAATGAATTGGAATCTGGTTTTAACATATTTAATAGGTAAAGACTGATACTAATCTAACCACCTTAGCATCGCTATACTAAAAAATTCACTATCAGGCCAGTTTAAAATTCAATTTCACTTTGTCTGTAATACTTCTGCTTATGCCTTTAAAGGTGTTTTATTATGTTTGCTTTATTGTTGGTTTTATTTTGGCTTTAAGAAAAAAGATTTTGCATTTGTTAAAGTACACAGTTATTTGTATTGTTATGGTATGATGATATGTATGTGAATTCATATGATTAAAGCATATTGTTTACGGGTAAAACCCGACATTATATTTATTTTGAAAATTCGGTTATATGATCATTTATTCAAACCTAGTGTTGTTGAAGAGATTTGTATGAATGTTAAATCGATATGATAATAGTTGCATACTTGCATATGTGATGTGTAAAGATTCTTGACAAAACTATTTTTGAATTGACGAAACGTTTCATCAATTATCAATGATGAAAGTTTCATCAATTATCAATGACGAAAGTTTCGTCATTCATCAGGTGTCTTCGTGTATGTATCTATTTAATGCGTGATAGGGGTAATAACTTAGTCTTGCAGGTTGAGGTAAGTTCTATTAATCGTAACTGGCAATCACATTCGGAGGAATACTTGAGGGCACTGTTAATTTGTTAACATTTATTTTAGGTATCTGTGTGACATTGATTTTAGGCATCCATGCGGCTAAGATTTGTTCTCAAGTATGATTGCTATAAACGAATTATATGTATAAAAATTCGAGCGTATTTATTATTATTATTATTATTATTATTATTATTATTATTATTTTTATTTTTTTATTTTTATTTTTATTTTTTTTATGTGCTCTAGAAAAATAAATCATATTATTAAAATGATTTAAGTTTAATTCATTCGATTTATTTGAAACAACTTACTCAAAGCCTGAACGAATTTGACTTAATACATTTTAGCATAAATAAAGTTATATTGTTATCATAGATTGTTTTATAGCAATGACTTATTATATTTATACACCCTTTTAATCATGAATGTTAATATCAAAGGCTGTGTAGAATGTGATATTATGTATCGTCATAGTGTGGCTTGATTGTTAATTTCTCGATTAATTTCAGCTTTCTCAGCTATTAAACCTATATAATATGGCTTGATTGTTAATTTCTCGATTAATTTCAGCTTTCTCAGCTATTAGACCTATATAATGTGGCTTGAACCTTATCTTCCTCAGTTATTTAGATTTCTCGGCTATTCAATTTGTTAAGCTTTCTCGGTTATTTTAATTTTCTCGGTTCTAAGATCTCTTCGCCTCTTTTTCGCACCCTTTTCAATTATTCATTTTCTTTGTTGCTTCTTTCCGTGCCTTCATTCGCCTCAATCTAGGGCTTAAAGACGGATTATGATCATGTGTTTTCATTATATTTGCTTTATATCTTTATTGTTTTAGATATATGAATAAATTTTGTATAAATATACTGTGAATTTGATGTAAGATGGAAACAATTCAAATGCGACTTTCTGAAAAACATTGTTATGATTGACTTTTATTATTAAAATCTGTCATACTGATTATTTAATCGTTATTGCTATACATTTTTTTTTTTATATTTGTTTTGAACAGAAATTCTATTCTGTAAATTCTATATATATATACAATCTTCGATAAATATATCTTTATCTTTATCTTTTTAAGATGCCATCACATGCTACTTTAATTGCTATCGTGGTTACCAAAGAAGATTCTAATTCACTCACTCAAGGCTTCGCTAAATATCAAGCTGATAAGGATGATTTTAAAATCGTTCGTTGGAAATACTTTTATCCCTTTGAAAAAGCCTATACTGATTTTTCTGTAGGCGACATCGTAATGTTTGCAGGAAAGTTTGTTGTTGAAAATTTAGAGCAGTATGTTATTGCTTCTAGTGTTAGCGTCATCACGGTTAGTGGTCCAAATCAAGAATTTGGTGCTGACGAAATTCTACTTAGCGCACCGCATTGTATATTTCTCATATTGGTCAAGCGTGATTCCCAGTCAATCAGAGATTCTACTTATTTTGATGCTGATTGCTTTCAATATAATTCGTTCACTAATTCTAAGCGTGTTCATATGAAGTTAAGAATTCTTTATCCTACGAATGCGCCTCGATTTACTTACATACATGCTAATAATAGCATCAAGTCAGGTCGAACGTTTCTCGTATCAGGTTTTGTTAGACGTATAAGTCCTGAAGTAATCGCAATGGAAGCTACAGATATCGATTTCATGTATGCGTCTAATGCCGTTGTAAATCATAATGTGCAAGAAATTTCTTCGACAACTACTTCTAGTCATCGTTCAGTTTTTGATGAGATCATTGATGAAATTGAATCCACTATTTCACAAGCGCCAAAAAAAAGCGTTGTATTGGCTAAGGTTTCTCGTAACACGGCCTCTACTCCAAATTTTAACAAACCCATTATGTCATCTTCAAGTTTATCTTCTGCTAGTACTGAAACAACTCAACTTCGAAAAGGCAAAAAGAGATTGGCTAATTTGGCGTTAGATTGTCTCGGATTGGACGTTGTTGATAAGCAAGAAATTAATGATGAAAAGGAGGATGATGAACCTGATGATGAACCGGAAGACTTTGAAGAACAGATTTCTAAAGAAAAGCCAGGTAAAAGAAAAAGAAAAAGTGTAAGGAGAAAGTAATAAATTAAAGCATTGTAGTAAATAAAAATTAGTTTGGTTTTTTTTTTTCTAGTCATTTTATTTTTTATTTTCTTTCTATTTTTTTTTGTTATTGTATATAATTTTTTGTTATATAAAGACATTATTCAATAAATATTTTGATTATTTTTCAATTATTTTTCAATCTGATTTAAATTACGATAAGTTTATTATTTACAATAAAAATGTTTCTCTAATTTTTCCTTACTCAATGTTTGAATAAAGTCATGATAATATACAATAACAAAAAAAAATAGAAAGAAAATAAAAAATAAA